TTGCCAATCACCAACATCCTTAAAATTTTGATGGTAATAGGACTGTGGATTCTGATTTGGGGCTGTGCACATTGCTACCCAGAATAAAGGTCTCTGGTTCCCAGTTCCCCTTGCGGCTCAGTGTGACTGTACCTTTACTAAATGACAGTGAGTGGCCCTTTTGTGTCTGATCTATGGGAAGGTTGCTTAAAGGGATCACACAGCCTAGAACATAGATACGATGGCTGGTACTCCTGCAGCCATCTTGGACCATGAGGTGGCTTGAGAGGATGGAAGCCATAAATTAAGACACATACCAGAAAGGCAGGAGCCTAGATCCCCAATGGCATAGTAGAATTGCCATGCTAACCATGGGTGACTGGTCTTCAGACTTCTTTTAAAGGAGATAGAAATGTTTATTTTCTTCTTTAAACTACTATTACTCAGGCATTTTCTGTTACATGCAAGCTGATCTTTTTTTTTTTTTTTGCAGTTTTTGGGCCGGGCCAGGTTTGAACCCGCCACCTCCAGTATATGGGACCAGTGCCCTACTCCTTTGAGCCACAGGTGCTGCCTAGGCAGCTGATCTTAAATATTCCAAATAAGGGCAGGCACCACAGCATCTCACAGATGAGGACACTGAGGCACAGGGAGCATAAGGAGGAGCGGATCCCAGGCCCCTCTGCCCAGCACATGCTGCCTCCTGCTCTGTGGCATGAGAATTCTCCTCTATCCCAGATAAATATTTGTAAGAAGGCGCAGATGTCTTCCTCAGGGGAAGTGAGTGTTTGTCCTCTCAGCCGCCTCCACATGTGAACTTAACCGCATGCTGTTTCCCACCCTGAACACCCGAGCAGCCTCCCCAGAGGAAGAGAGGCTTGACAGGCACGCGAGGGGATAAAAAGCTGCTTCCTCCTTGAAGTTCCTCAGGCCCCTTAGAGCCCCACCCCTGACATCATGTCTCAGCTCTTCTTACAGCCCCCACTGCACTGCATGTGGAGCTCAAAGTCCCCGCATGGCCCTCAGAGCCAAAGTCAAAGCACAGCAGCCTCCCTTCCCCTCACTGATTTCCTCCTGACGGACTCACCTGTCAGCCACGGCCTCCCCACCATCCCTAAGCAGGCCCACCGCAGGGCCTTGGCCCACGCTGGTCCCTCAGGCAGAAATGCTCTTCCCTCTGGGGAGTCCACCCTTCTCATGACCCGCTGTACCCTTCATTCGGGTCTCAGCTGAAAGGACACCCTCAGAGCCCTCTCTGACCACCCTGCCGTCTCTTACTTATTACTTGGCACCAAGAAGCTCAAGCTCAGGACGGGCTTCTCCATTAAACTCAGCAGACACAGTGCCCAGGGTCGGGGTGGGGGACATGGGACTTCTAAGGGCCCGCAGGGATGGACATTGTGCATGTTGCCACCCAGAATAAAGGTCTATGGTTCCCAGTTTCCCTTGTAGCTCAGTGTGATTTTAATGTCTTTTAAAATCAGAAAAAAAATGAATAAAATTCAGCCAGATTTATATTCATTTTTATAACCATGCAGTCATAACACAGAAGTTTTTTTATTTCTATGGAAGAGAGGCTCACGGTGTCTTGATGTGGTGCTGGTTACTATTTGTTTGCTGAATGGAAACTTCCCTGTGTCCACTGCCCTCAACGGTGCTGGGCACACAGTAGACACAGGACACAGGAGGAAGGACCTTCCTCTGGAGCCTCCGGAGGGAGAGTGCAGCCCTACCGACACCTCGATTTTGGACCTTTGTCCTCCAGACCGTGAGAATGAATTTTTATTGTTTTAAGCCACTGGCTTGCAGTACTTTGTTACGGCAGCTCCGGGACACTCACACATTCACCTGCTCCGAAAGACATGAACAAAGGGCAGGACTCAAAACACGTGTGGGGGAATCTCTGCTGCAGACAGCCCCAGCAGCCCTGACTAACCCACCCAGCAACATCCATGCAGTGCTGTCACCAGGCGACAGAGGAGAGGACAGAGGGAAAGGATGACCAGTGTGCAAGGTGTGAGGTGCAGCCCATATGGCCGTCAGCCCCAGCCATGGGGAAGCTAAAGCTAAATGTCAAATGCATAGATGAAGGGCCTCCGGCACCGTGGATACAGAGACTGACTCCTGGAGCTGGCGGCCAGGAATCCCATTTCACCTGCAGCTCCAGGAGACTCCAGCTCAGGTGAGCCTGGGATTGAGCCCAGGCTAAGGGGTTCAAATTCTAGTTTCAGTAACTAGGATATCAGCTGGGGGGTTTTGAGGAAGTGAAATTACCTGTCTGTGTCTAACAGTGAGCAGGATTGATGGGAGAGGCAAGAAAATGCCCTAAAGGAAAAATGAGTGAAAGAGGCAGAAACCAGGAGAGGGGAAAGATGAAGGCAAAAGGTGAGGCCATCTGTGGCGCTGTAACCACAAACACATGTGCCTTACAGGCCCTGCCCTGGAGTGGGGGGGATGGAGGAAGGGGGCCAGCAGTAAACAAAAGCATGTTTGTCCTCCCTGAAGTGCCTGCTTCTCCCAGTTTAGCTTTTACTTTGCTACTTTCAAGAGGAACATGGGTACTAATAACTAGGTAGCTATAATTTTAAAAACAGTAACTGACATTTGCCCCTCTATATAAGACAATAGGGAGCAGTGGAGACTGTGGCATCAGCTACCCTTCTGCTACAGCCATACCGGGATGGGGCTCAGGGTGGGTAGGCCTGCTGATTTTGCAAGAGAAGCCAGATTTGGGGATGTTTTTGTTCACCCCAATCTTTTGATTTTTGAAAACATGTTGGCAATGAATTTGCATTTTAAAAAATTAGTATAAACATCAAGCAGGGGGAATAAGACATGTCTGTAGGCCACATCTGGACCTCTGGTTTGTGGCTCTGGTCTTCAGCCTGGAAAACAGAACAAAAGCTAAACCGTGCATCAGGACAATGACAGGAGGGTTTGGAAATCACAGGGGCTGGAACTTGTTAGGAGAGGCTGCTTCGTTTAAGGCCATAGGAGAAGAGGGGGCAGGCTGACCAAGACAGGGGCTGGGATTCTAACAGCATCCATTAGGGGACCTCAGTGCACACTTCAAAGTGCAGCACACACTTCTACACTGCACAGTATGGCACTGGGCCCCTGGTGCCTTCCCCAGACCTGCTGTGGTCATCCACATCCCCATCCAGAGCTGGGCTCCAGCGGCAGCCCTAACTGCCCGAATCACTTATGCTGGACAATGTCGGCCCGGGGGCTGGCTCTGCTTTCAAGTTTTGGGTGTGCACCATTCGCCCTTTTCTCTCTTGTGCCTCTATTTTATTGGGATGACTAAATCTTTCAACTATGTTAGCAGTAAACACAGCTAATTTACCCCCTGCCTCTTTGAAACAGCTGCTGACAGCTGCACTGTAATTCAATCAAGGATCTTTGTAGTCGAGCCTACCAAGTTCACATTTGTTGTTTGATTCCATCTCTCCTGCCTGGAGCCCCAAACAGCTGCAGCAAATACTAACGCTGACGCGTGCCTGTTTCTCTCCGAGGCCTGGAAGATAAAGAACGTGTTAATGGTGGAGGCGAAGGCAGAGAATTCTTAGCAAACTGAGGGAATTTCAATGTCTAGGCATGGAGAGAAAAAAATCAACACACACAGACATACACAGGCCCAAGAACCAGAACCAAATGTCTCCTTTTATTGCAAAGTCAAACCCTTTTTATTTTGTCTATTTATACAGCATTTTCACTAAGAACTGCTCTATGCAACAGCCGTGGTACATTGGTCCAACCATTAATAAATAGTCTTAAATAAGAAAACAAACAGGTCTAAGGGCAGCAAGCTCATCGTCCTGAACAAGGGAAGGTTTAGAAAGGGATTCAAGTGGTAATAAATAATTTCTTTGTCTTATAACAACTATTTACATGTTTAAATGTACAAATGATGTTGATCGGGTCATTAAGTGGTAAGGAAATTTGTACCAAGAGGGAGTCACACAAAAGGACCCAGACTCGCCAACAAACAAAGCGAAATGCAGCAACTGGGCAGAGTCAAAGCTTCAGCCCAAACTACCAAGGAAGAAAAAATAAAAGAAAATAAAAACAGAACCCCAGTCTTTCTCGGAACCAACTTAATCGAAATAGAGAAACATTTCCTCAGTAGACTAGATCGCATGGACACAAGTCTTGCAGGGATAACTTTGTTCTTTTTGTAGGTGCAGGAAATAAATATTTCCAGACAACACAGCCCTCCCCAAGGCCTAGTGTTTGCAGCTGGAGCTGGGTGTACACCATGTAGGGACCCGCTGGCCAATGGGAGGGGGTCTTGTACCAAAATCCAGGTCAGAGATGCCCCCTCCAAATTAGGTTGCTTGGTTAGGGTGTCACCCTCAACACAGATTCTAGATCCTTCTGTTTGCAATCTGAGTCCGGCACATCCTGCACCCATCAGACCTCCTAGTAGGCCATCTCTCCCTTACTTCGAGGAGCTGATTCGTTTGCAGAGCCTGTAACAGGGATCCACAAATGAAAAGAGACAGCCATGACACCCTGCCGGATCAGAGCTTCAGAGCACAGTGACAGCTAGAGAAGGGAGGACTCCATGCAGAGGACACGTGGAGGCCCGCTCACCAATCCCACTGAGAACCAGCCTCCTGGGACTGCTTATGTCAGGCTCTCATTGCAAGTTCTACCCTGGTTCTGTCCCTCTGCAACTTCACAGGGAGCTCCTATCCCAGGGGCAAGCTGGAAGGCCGATCTCAAGTGTTGCCCATGCCTATTTTAATTTCTGACACCACACACCCAGCTGGACAATGGAACCTAGTTTTCCTTCAGGGTCAACACCCTGCCCTCTTCCGAGCAGACATCTACCCTCTCTCCTCCCCACCAGATCTTGGATTTGGGCGAGTCTGGGTAAACACTGGGGCCTTGCAAGCCTCAGAGTGAAACCTGCAACACCCACCCCTCTGTGGGACGCAGTTTCTGTTTATGAATCAGAATAAACCAAGACGTGGGGATAAATTGTTTAGGAAAATATATCTGTAACATCCTAACCATTTTCATTCATTCGTTTTATTGTGACATTTATTACAGGAACTTCCGCGTCAGTATTCCTTCGGCACAGACACCAATATGCCCACCCCTCGCCACGCCCCCTTCCCCTGCTGCTGGGTGGCCTGGCTGACTGGCGGGCACTCGTAATTACCTCTGGAAAACGAGTCCGAACACAGCTGAGACTTCACAGCCAGTGACCTTAGCCAGGCAAATTTTCTTTGTGTTTTTTCCTGCTAGGTTTTGCCCGTAGCAGCCTGTAGAATCTTGCCCATTGGATGATGCAGCCCCAAAACTGATCAAAAGCCATTTGCCACTCAAACTCCTTAATACGCTTACACCTTTAAAGATGGAGCAGGGGAAGGAAAGGTCCCACAGAACGCAGCTGGTCTGCTGACTCCCAGCCAGGCTGGGCAGAGGACAATCCAGAAGATCCCCCGAGGGTCTGGTTTTCAGGAGGGGTTAGTGGCAGCCACAGGCCCGGACCACCATGTTTCTGTATTTTTTCAGGATGACGTTGGAGCTGTCATCAAAGTAGAGGACAGAGATGGCGTTGAGCTGTGTGGGAGCACAGCAGGGCTTGGGTACTGTCTCCGGGTTGATGAAGTGGACCTGGAACACAGGTGGGACAGTGACAGTGGGGAGAGATGGGGACGCCCTGCCGATCAGCCCCCATGACAGCCCCCACCACAGGCAGTCACCAAGTAAGCCCCAGTCAAGGCACCTGACCTGTACAACTCAGTTCTAGACTGTCCCTGGTTTTCAGACAAGGAGACCAAAATAAAGAGAGTCTTCACAGCACACAGCTGGTGAGGAAGTAGCTGGATTAGCCACCAGGGTGGCAGATAATTCTTCCTGTGACCCATGGGATACTAAACAAAGGAACAAAATCCCTAATTCTTATCACTTTTGCTGTTGGTAATACAGCACTCATCATAACATCTTCTGAGTGCCACCCTGGGCCGGGCACCGCAATCTCATCATCATGCTAAGTCTCCCCACTGACCCCACAGTTTAAAGTGGAATAGACCCACAGGACCCCCACAGGACCCCCACCCCCACCCCGAGTTAGCCTGCTTGCCACCTTCTCAGAACTTTCCCCTTCTCTGAAATTTCTCATTTGGTTACTTGACAATTTCATCCACTGGAAAATGAGGCACCGAGTCTACAGTCACACTGTGCTAACCCTGCAGTGCCCTCAGCTCCCAGGGCAGAGTCTCGATCCACATAACAAAGACTGTGAATGACTGAATGTGGCAGCTCAGGACTAGGAGAGGATGTCGAGCTCTGTCCCCGGGAAGCAGGTGGTGCTGGGGCTGGAGTCGGTGCGGAGAACTGACTCTCCCTGAACGTGGACTGATGTGCCCTGACAGCCTAGGACAACGGGCCCCCAGCAGAGGCCAGGCCAGGGCCCAGGGCTTTGTTAGGCATAGTAGTACCTTTAGGAGCCCATGGAACTGTTTCAATTACTTTCACAGTTAGAGGAAATAAATGAACTTCATGGTCAGAAACTATGGAGATTATCCTTATACCAATGCAGTCATTGATCAAAATATAATTCTGGATTTTCTTTCTTTTTATGGAGTAAGGGCCCCACAAAAGTCATGATGGAACCTCGGGCAGAGATCTACTCAGGCCAACCACTAGGAGCATCCTGTGCCCCCTCAGCCTGCCCTGCCTTGCTGACCACACCCAGAGACCACAGGACACCCACCAGCGTCTGGACAATGGCGTGGTTGGTGGCATTCATGTAGGAGTTCAGAGGGAAGGCGCATTCCCCCTCACAGTAGTAGGCAGCGTAGCCTTCGGGCGCGATGATCCAGTCCTGTGGGAGGGAGAAGAGAGCCGGGAGTGGCCTGGGTGTGTCCACAGTCTCACAGAAAACCTGAGCCGTGGGCGAGATGCCACCATGCTAAGCCCCGTCCCAAGGGCGAAGCCTCGGACCACGCCCTCCTGAGCAGTGAGGGCTGCAGGGGCAGGAAGAAGGAGTGGCAGGGGTAAAACCAGTACAATATGCCAGGGGCTGGGCCAAGCCTGGAATGGGCACCCTGGTGGCTGCATCTCCTGGATAGCCATGGGCACAGATAGGATGCACAGATGTCTTAGCAGCTGGCCCCGGCACCAGCTAAGCTCCACAAGGTGGTAACGCATTAGCAGTTTGCCTTAAACAAAACCTCCATGCCTTGGTGCACCACCGGCCAGAGAGGCTACCAGCCATAATGGCCTAGGGTGACGGCTCACCCTAGGTGACGGTGCAGACAGCCTTGCACAGCACCTGGCGTGCCACACCGTGCCTGCCTCTGGAACAGATATGCTGCACAAGCAATCAGAACATGCCCCTGTAATTCTTAAGTGCACAGAATCTTCCAGCAGATGCCCCAGCAGTTTGGGATCTGTTCCAGCACCTGCCCAGCACCTCTTCAAGGGTGGGTGTGGTCATCAGGGCCAAGGACAGGCTCCCAGGAGGGCCCTGAGCTGGATGTGGCCACAGGGGCCATGGAGGCCCTCAGTGTACCTGGACATGACACCCAGGGAAGAATCTGGACTCTCTAAGCTACAAGCTGCCAAGGGGTAGGAGACACCACCCCTTGCCCTGAAGACCTTCTGCCAGTGCCCTGCCCAGGGATGTCTGAGCTCCGTGGGACAGACCATTATTACAGTATCACGTGCATCTCAGAGCAGGGCCCCGGCATGAGGATGCCCCAGAACTGCTGTGGAGTATGAACCACACAGGAGCTAACTGCAGGTGCTCACCAAGACTCAGCCTCTGCCTGCGGCCACACTTCATCCAAATGGCTCCCGAGGGAACAGCCTCATTCCTAAAACAAACAGCTGATGGATTCAGCACCCATCCCATGCTGGGCCCATCAGTCCCTTCTCTGGGAATCTGCACAGGGAGAAGGGGGTGGTGGCTCCCCCAGGAAGCTGGGTTTGGGGACAGTAGCCACGCCAGGATGGGGACGAGGTTCACCCAGAGAGGGAGGCTCAAGTCCAGTGTCAGGTTTGAGTCTCAGCTGCTTTTCTGCTCTTGGCTTTCATGAGACCCCTGTGTCCTTAAATTCAAGTCCTTTTTCTTTGTTAGGCCACTGGACACCTAACGGCACAGGCATGGAGGCACTGCCAGTACTGCCCCGGCCTCACCCGCCAGCCCGCCCAGCATGGCCCAGCACTCACCTGCCAACCCAGGTCGCGGAAGCTGACGTACAGCTCATGCTTCTTGCAGGCCTGCCGCTGGTCACTGCTACTGCTCTCTGCATGGCAAGGAGGCAAAGCAGGGCCCGGGGGAGGGAGAGAAATGACACACATAAGTTCCCTTAGCCGAGGGCAGTGGTGTGAGCAGCAAGCCATGCAGACAGCTGAGGGTAAATCTGCTGACACAGAAGCCACTCCAAAGACCTGTGGTCTAAAACTCACCATATCCCCAGCAAAAGGCCCCATAGTGAGGGGTACCAGTGCCCCCGCCCCCCTCTCACACAGCCTTAGCTCGCAGCACTTTCTGGACCCTTTGGAGTGTTGTTGAAATGCTAGCATCTGCCTGATCCCACATGGGGGCAAACCCACAGGCCCCGCCCTGAATTTTCTTCACTTAAAAAACATTTCAAACAAACGTATAAGTATCCTAAATGATATATTCTAAAGAAACTACCACTCTGAAGTAAATATTTTTTATCTTAGGAAATAAAATTTAAAATGCAGCAAACTCTCTCCCCGCCCCGGGTCTTTCTCCCAAGCACCTTCCCACACACGTGGGATATTCCCTCCATATCCGCATATCTATATGTGGTTACAAGCGTAGCTATTGTTTGGTCTATCAATAAATTTACACAACTGGCACCTTGTTACAGGAATGTTTTCCTATTTGCACCTCTTTTTTCTCCCCTAGAGACTTGGTCTTACCCTCTCACCCTGGCTGCAGGGCAGTGGCACGATTATAGCTCAACCGTAACCTCAAACTCCTGGGCTCAGATCCTCCCACCTCAGCCTCCCCAGTAGCTGGGACTACAGATATGTGCCACCACACCTGGATAATTTTTTCATTTTTTGTAGATACAGGGTCTTGCTATGTTACTCCTGGGCTCAAGTGATCCTCCCACCTCTGGGTCCCTAAGTGCTGGGATTACAGGTATGAGCCACTACTCCCACTTCTAAACCAACTTATCACTTTCACAGAATTAAGACAACCAGCTCTGAGCAGGAAAGGATCTGGGGGCATTTACTTCTGCCCCAGAGCCACCAGTGGACTCCATGAGGAGCCCCTGCTGGGTTCCTGGGCCAGGTGCTGCCCGCTCCTCCCAGCAGTACCTGCCACGTTCGCCATCCTCAGCGCCTCCTGGTTCTTGGGCGTCTTGGAGCGGTTCTGGCTGCGCTGCTTGCTCCCTGCGGACCGGACGCTGCGGAAGTGGACCTCCGTGGCCTTGAAGAAGGCCACCATGAAGGGCTGCTTGTTCTGGGGCCCGTGCCGCCCAATCAGGCCCGCCAGCCTGGGGTTGATGCTCTGCCCTGGACAGGAAGCAGCCGAGAGCAGAGAAGAGGGGTCACCAGGGGGTGGGGCACAGGCGAGGGGCTGCATGGTCACCACGTCATCCGTGCCTCATGACCACACACATGTCCATTATTTGACAACATGCCAGCTGTTGTCTTAGGGGCTTGGGACACAGCTGTGACAGAGGAGAGACAACTCCCTGTTAGCTGTGTTCCTGCTGGTGGGGAGGCAGCAGGAAACTTGTGCCACGGGGACCAGGAATGCTGGCCTGGGCCCGGCTTCCTCCCTCACCAGACCAGAGCTCACCTTTCCTATCCATCAGGCCCAGGCCCATTTCTCCCTGGCCTCACCCCTGACTGCCTGGGGGGGAAGCCAGGGAGAAATGGGCAGATCCTCAATCGTTAGGTTTTTAAATCCATCTTTAGAATTTATTCTGGTTTTAACTTTTTTGTTGTGAAATAAACGCATATTCACAGGCAGTTGAAAAACAATGTCCGGGGAGGTCCCAGTCCTCCTCCTCCAATGCCAACACTGCAAATAACTAGAACGTGACATCTGAACCAGGACATGGCAGGTACTAGCTATACTCTGAAAGAAAAACCTATGACATTAGCCAAGCTTCTAAAAGGGGAGAGAGTCATCTCATGAGACTTACACACTCTTGACCCAAGCCCCAGGAAGAAGGGGAAACCAAGGCAGAGGTGGGGGTTGGAGAATTAGCAGGAGAGCAGAGGGTGGAAGGCAAGATGCAGCCTGGGTTAGCCGCTGTTGTCCAAAATCCCCTCTTGACACCCAGGGAAACTGACGGGTGAGTGCGGACCACCCCAGCCTGGGCCGGATAGATGGGAAAGATGAGCTCTGATCTGGTGAGGGAGGAAGCGGGGCCCAGGTCAGCATTCCTGGATTCCAAGTCCTGGCTCCATCACCAAATGCACAGATGCAGCTCAGAGCAGAGCCCTGCACATCGAGAGAGCTCAGAAGGTGCAGTTTAGACAGCGGCTTGGAAACCATAGGAATCTGGGAGTCCTCAGCACAGAGACGGGAGACTGATGTGCTCACTTGTGGACAGCATGTACCGGGGCAGGTAACGTGAAGACAGAGCCCAAATGGCCTCTCTTTTCCACCAAGAGATCAGAGGAATGTGGCAGAGACTTTGTAATAGTGTCCAGAGGGAAGGATCTGGAAGAAGCTTAGACAGGAGACAGGGAGACACAGAGAAGATATGGGGTCTCAGAAACCAGGGGAAGAAAGTTGAGGGAGAGATCTCAGTGTCCTGAGCTCTGCCACCGGGTCCGAGGGGCAGACTCAATTTGCTCTGACAACCTGAGGTCATTGGCAAATATATACTTGATGTCACGTCTGGTGGTGATAAGTATTCCCAAGGAAAAAGAGAAGCATCAGATGGAAACAAAGTCAGTTTTATTCCCGACAGAACAAGGTCAGAGAGGCTGAATAACCCGCCTTAAGGACACCCAGCTGGAAGCAACAAAGCACAGTCTGAGCCCAGGTCAGGCTGGCTGAAGAGTCAGGATGCCCAGTCCCTGCAGGTTTGATGCCCCCACATTAGCTGACGGGGGTCAGAGGCCAACAAAAGGGATGGCTTCTGGAAGGTCCCGGGCCTGTCCACATCTGGAATTAACTTCACCTGGCGTCCTCCAGACAGGCCAGAAGTCAAGAAACCCAGCCTCCCGCCCAGATCGGCACCAGGAGGTTCGCTTTGGTTTTTTAACAACTAATGTTTAAGAGAACAAGTCTCCCCTCATCCACCACTGCTTTACCTTAACCCCTTTTAACGTGCAGCTTTCCTGCATTCTTGAGCGGGGTTTTCTCAAGTTCACCCATCTATAATTTGAACGATTCTATAAAAGAAACCATTAAAACTGAGCCCCTAGGAATTGTGTTTCCCCCTCCTTGAAGGGTTTTAGGGCAAAATAAAAATGCCTGGCCTGAAAACCTGATGCTCCTCCAGATCCGTCAACCCCAGCCCTGTGCACAGCTATTTGCTGTGAGCCTTGCTCTTCCAGCTGTTGGACAGCCACGAGCAGGGACCCACGGCCCCAGCAGGGACATGGCAGGACAGAGGGGAGGGAACAGGGTCTCCAGGGTATTCAGACCCACACAGGTACCACTGACCTTCCTGGCGGAGGGGAGGGCAAATGCCAGGTCCACGGGATGCACGTGGCTTGTTTGAGGCACAGTGAGGCCATGAGAGAACCTGACATGAGGCTGACAGACAGGCAGGGGCCCTCAAGACCTCCCGGAGCCTGGCCGGGGTAGGGCAGGGAGTGACGGTGACGTGGTCACAGCTCTGCGGCAGGAGGCCCAAGCCGAACGCTGAGTGAGAACTGACAGGGGTTGGGTAAGAGAAAGCAGAGAGAGTGGTGGTCTAGGAGCCATCTCCTCCTGTCCACCCCTCCTCCAGGCCCCATAGCGCTCTGGGTTAGCCCCAGGGACGCTCACACCACTTCCTCCTCCTCCGAGTCCAACAAGTTAGGTAGGGACATTCCCTTTGCCCACTGCTCCAGACAGGTGCCAGCCCTAACTCTGGGCCCAAAGCACTTTCACTGGCCTGGCATGGCCAATACAGCAGGTCAGCCCCACTAGGGCAGCCCGGACATGGAGCCGCATGATCCTCTTGTGGAGGGGGCTGCCTGTGCATCACAGGACCTCAGCAGCCCCCGGGCACTCGCTCTAGTGCCAGGAGCATCTCTCCACATTGTGACAACCAAATGTCCCCTGGCGGGCTGAACATTCTGGGGGAGAGCGAGCTCTCCATGTGGCTGTGTGGACCAGGTGGCCACACAGACAGAACCACAGAGCCCGAGAGACGATGGGGTGCTCCATCACAATGGGTTAATTAAATTAGGAGTCACATAATGATGTAAGGAATGCTGCCTAAACAATTCATTCAACAAATGCTCGCATCTCGGTTCCGGACCCAGCTCTGCTCTGCGGGCACAGCCGGAACCAGGATGCCCCGGCTCTGGGCTCTGGAGGGAACAAGAGAGGGAAAGGTCCCTCAGACCAGCTGCTGCTAGATGAGGAGCAGGAGGGACAGACACAGAGGGACATGCTTGGGACGAGGGTTTGGAACATGTACTAACACAGGTGGTTCTGCACACACATAATGTCTCAACCCCAGCAGGGCTGAAAAGTTATTTTGGAGGAGAAGAATTCCTTTTTGTTTTATAATGGTACAGTAGATCAGCTTTAGTTACTGTGTACAATTTTTTATTTTGATCATTTGTATATAAGTGACCCAATGAGTCACACTAACTAGGAAGCCAGCCCAAAACTTACAAGACACACAGGTTGAGGTGGGTGGATTAACTGATCTAGGCAGGAAGACGCTGTACACAACATATTAACTGTAAAATTGACATCTTTGGGAAAGTTGGAAAACATTTTCCTTTTTAGCTGAGGGTTAATGAGATTAAAAAAAGAAAAGCCTACAGATTCCACCCATTTCTCCCCTCTGTAACCTCTCAAGGTAGGGACGGTGGTCCCAAATTTACAGATTAGGAAACAATGTCTCAGGTACAAAGTCAGCTATTTGGGACCCCCTGCTAGGGAGGGCAGAGATGCTGTCCACACCTTGGTCCAGCTGACTCAGACCTGTGGCTTCAACCATGCACCACCTGCCAACAAGTCCAGCCAGATGTCGGGGGGGGGGCAGTAAAAGACTCCCCAGGTTCAGAAAGGATGCCCAGAACTGGGCATAGGGGACCTACCAGGTCTGCAAAGGCAGGAAGGATTCACTGAGGCCCAGAGGGGGTGCCTTCTAGTGGTGAGCCAGGTAGATGCAGGACTCAGGGAAGGTGAGTTGAGGACGGGGCAGCCAATGTGTCATGGCTCTGCTGGCAGACCCTGGGTGGCCCCTGCAGTCAGCAGGCTAGCCCAGAGGGGCATGGCCAGCTCTGTAAGAGGATCCCCAAGTGCAGGCAGGGAGCACAAATGGGCCGCTCAGGAACATCAAGGATGCCAACCACCCACAGAGAGGGTAGCATCCTGGCTTTCTTGTGGCTTCTTTGTTTCCAAGCCCAAGGCGATTGGCTGCCCCTTCAAGGCTCCAGGGATAAGAATGTTCCTCATTAATTGTGGAAAACATTAATTCCAGCCACTTCTCTAGATGGACCAAGGCCCAAGTGACAAGTGAGAACACAGTTAACACTTGTGACATCTGCCTGGCCCCACATACCCAATTTCGTCCTCACCACCTCTGCCTGCCCAGCCCTGGAAGGGCCGACCCCAGCCATGGGTCACTGGCCTCTTCTTTTCTCTCCCTTTCCAGCTTCTGGACAAACAGGATGTGAAGCAATCGAGGAGTGAAGGCACCTTGGAGCCAGCTGCGCCGTGGGCGGGATCACTCAGCAACCTTGGCTTTCTGGGCTTAGTTTCCACAGCCGCCGCGGGCGAGTGGCACACCTCCCTGCCCCTCCCCAGCTGCGGCAGCTGAGTGCCACACTTGGACAGCACATGCCCCACAATCCCACCCCATTGAATCTGGGGTGATTAAGAACTAGGACACGTGTTCTCATGTGCCAGAGGAGAGAGGCTTGGGGTTTGGGGCTCTGTGAGTGCAGGGACTTCCACAACACGTGTTTCTGACGCCCAGCCTTCTTCAGGAGGCAGAGAAGTGGGGGGAAAGGTGCCCCCATGGCCTTGAAGCTCAGGAGATGTAGGGCACATGCGAGCCGAGCAGGAGAAATGGGTCCCCAGCGAGGAAGTGTGGGGTGAGACAGAGGAGGCTGCCAGATTGTCGTCTTGCATCAAGAGAGGGAGGGGCTGATTGACGTGGCCCTCCTGTGATTCTTCTGTGAATCAGGGTGAGGAGCAGACCCCAGTGAACCAGGACAAGATGCTGGGGTCCTCTTGGGAGCAAATAACCAGGTGATTCCATGTCTTCGAGGATGAGTGTCTCTCCAGCCCAAAGCAATCTTCACCTCCCTGTAGCAGGCTTTCGAGGCAGCACCAGGAAAACAGGTGCATTGAGCTGCAGAGGAGCAGAAGCCCTCGG